CCTTTGATGTAAAGCACCGGGCGGCATTAGCAGACAAGGGCTTGGAATACATTTGTTTCGAGTTCACATTTGGGGGAAGAAATTGCACCCCGTCTGCTTCTGCGAGTGCTTTATTCGGCGCTGCTCAGATGGCTACACTTACTTTCCGTCAGTGTTCACCAGGTACTGGAAGCATGTCCTGAAGCAAGAGAGCCCTAAAATTTGGGAGGCTCTTTACACCCTTCCTGTAGGGGGGATCAAGTGTCCATCAAAGATTTCTTTGACAAAATTATTTTTGGTGCTGGCTTTGGAATCCATATTAGCTCCTCCCAGAGCGGATCCACAGAAGGGCCCTGTCCAGTGCCTGGGCCTTGTCAATTGCACTTTGAGTGAGAACAATGTAAAAAGAATGGACAGTCTGAAAACTTCCAGTGGGACACCCGCTTAGATGTTTTAAAGCTCAGGAACACCAATGCCAGTGGCGCTAAGCGTCACGATCTTATTCTTCGTTCTATTGTTACTCTGAGACTTTTCCCAGAGGGTGGAAATCTATATCCAGAGATGATGTTGACAGGCATGACAGTTTAGGGTTGTACAGAGATGTGGGCTTCTTTGCACAATCTATCCTTAATTTTATCTCAGACGGTTCACCCACTAACGAACAAAGGTCCTATGGTCGGATCTGGCTCTGCGCTATAGCACGCTGAAAAGATGCTAAGTCTTGCTTCCTGAGCTGTTACTTCTATTTATTGTAGTTCTGTGTCCATCTCCAAGGTGTTGTGAGTCAATCTCACTCCTTTTCTAGAATATACCAACGATGAGAGCACTGAGGTCCAGAGAACTTAGTGCCTTTTCGTGATCAGTTACTAGCAGAATTTGCACTAAATCCATCTTTTGGGACTTACTCTAATTCACTCTTTAAAAAAAAAATAAAAGGAGCAAAGTTCAATTTCATAAGTAATTGAAATAGGACAAATGGTAAATGTCCTAAAAATAATATTTATGGCATGGACAATATAACTTTGTATAGGTTGAAAATATTCCACTGACTTATACCTTTGTAGCTAAGATGTATTTCTCTTTTGGAATTGGTTGAACACAAAGGGATGATTGTTAGATCTAAATTCAGAACTTCCTGATTTTAATGTCTTGTGTCAGTTTTAATTTTCTGATTTAATTAGTTTCCTAATTAGAAGGGTTAAATTAATTAACCTCATTATTTACTATATATTTAATGATTTCTCCTCTATAGGGAGTTACTTAATTTCCAATAATTGGAAAGCTTATGACAAGAGGGAATATTGCCAAGTTGTACCCTTACTGCTTTATGTTCAGTGGCAGGAATAGGACAGATAGAAGGGAATTTTAGGTGACATATCAGATACATGCAAAGGCTATTTCCTACTTATTTTATTATTATTTTTT